GATTTGCTCCTGCCAAATGTAAGATGATGTTACAGGACTGGACTACACTGACTCCTAGTTTAGAAATAGGAAGTGAAGTGGTAGAGCACGTTGACCGCTTCACTTACTTGGGAAGTGTGCGTCGGTGGCATAGTGGTTAGGACGCTCGCTGACCATGCACATGGTCCGGGGTTCGATACCCGGCCGGCGCACACCCGATATCTATGGTCGGCCTGAATTTGGGCTACCGATATCCATGCTGAAAATTCCACACTTGTACTGAAAATACGGTGTGGAATCAAGCTGTAAATCAAAATAAAAAAATAAAAAATAAGTACCATCAACCCCAATGGGTTGATCTCTGACGAAATCTCAGTACGAATACAGAGGGCTAGTTTCGCATATGCCAGTTTATGCCGTCTCTGGCATAGACGTGATATCCGGCTGGCTGGCTGTCGACGAAAGGGCGTGTGTACTGCTCAGCAGTTCACTCCGTCCTCCTTTATGGCTGTGAGACCTGATCATTGAGAGAGGAAGACATGAAAAATCTGGCTAGTTGTCTTTGATCATAGTTGCCTGCGTTCTATCTCCCGTGTGAAGTGGTATAACAGGGTGAGCAGTATTGAGGTTAGGCATCGGTCGAGTGCTAGGTGAGTTGGAGGGGAAATCAATCGACGAGGTTGTGAAGTTACACCGATTGAGATGGTTAGGATATGTGTTGCGCATGCCTAGCCATCGCCTTCCTCGACAATGGGCAATGTTAGCTGACTGACATAGGATAAGTCAGGTTGGGAAAGAGAAAGATAGTGGTGGTGAAACGTAAACATAGCTTCATCAGTCAATGAAATCCACAACAATTAGTTTAGCCACGTAAAAACCAATGTATGGAGACAATTGGTGATATGGCTAAAAATCGTTCTCAATGGTTGACGCAGATGTATCCACTCCTTGTGACTAATATTATCCAATAAAACTATATGGTTCTTCCATATTACTATTGTTTTGCCTTATATCTCTGTTTATTGTCTCTATTTTTCTTTTCTTTTTTACTTTCTTCTCTTGCTATGTTTGCGAAATGGAGTGTGGCGACTGGAATTTCTGTACATCGGTCGGTCGGTCGGTTTTCGACAAAGAACTTTGCACATATGTGCGGCAGTTCAAGTCGCCACACTCCATGTAGCACACAAAGCAAGAGAAGAAAGTAGAAGAAATGCATAGTATAGACAGTAAACAGAGGTGTGAGACAAAAGAATAGTAATAACGGAGAACAAAACAGTTTAATTGGAAATCATAAGTCACTAGGAGTGGATGCATCTGCGCCACTGAGAACGATTTTGAGCCATGTCACCAATTGTTTCCAACCATTGGTTTTTACCATCCCGAGGACCCCAACCAGGAAGTCTACATTTTCCTACGTGGCTTAGACTAACTGTTGTGGATTTCATTGACTGGTGCCATGTTTTCGTTTGACCGCTGCTAGCTCTTTTCCAGCCTGGCCCTGTACATCGGTGCGAAGTTCTATGTTGAAACCAGTCAGTCAGTCAGTCAGCACTAACAACACTTTTCCTCCATTGCTGGGTTGGTTGACAATTACACATTTAACACTTTACCACCACGGTATCCTGCAACCATTGAAATAGGGCCTTTTTTGGTTTCTTTTCACTAGGTATGATAGACAGATAGATAGATAAGTCGGCTTTTTTGAAAATGTAAATTCTGAGTCGGGCTGCTGTAACATTTTTATTGTTGTTGTTGTTGGTCCAATCCATTTTTTTCTCTCTCTTCTTAATGACTGTTTCTTCTCCTCACATCCATCTAATGAATGAAAAAAACAAAACAACAACAATAAAAAAAGCGAAGAGTTTGATGGCACATGATGATATAAAGTAGATATGGTTTGTATTTCAGCATATCACCCTCCTTTTTAATATCGATTATTGCATAGTATTGTTTTCATTGTCCCCTCTTATTGTTGTGTACACTGTGTGAAGTAGAAATAAGAGAGAGAGAGAGAGAGAATAGTACAAAGTTAAAAATCAATGCTGTTGTTTTGATGCTCCTCCTATGGTTTGATTAGTGATGTTTAAATTATGGCATACTAAAGGTTTTCACTAAATGATTATTATTATTGTTATCAATATTTTGTTGTCTTATTTTTGTAGTTTTTTTGAGGTATTGTTTTTCATACTGTAGTTTCTCAATGCTTTAAAAGCTTGCTTCACTTTATGTGGTCTTCGAAAATACTGTTATAAGTACTGATGGAAATGGAGGTATTAGTGTTTTTTTTTATAGTTTTACCTCAAGAGTCTTGTAACGACAGAAAACAACGGCCATGCAACAGATCGTTTATTGAGGAAATCAACAGATATTTATCGATTTTTATGTACATTATTATTCGTTACGGTTAGCAGAGAAGCGCAACGTCTTCTGATTGGTTGTCTTCTACTTGATGAAGGTTATTCTGTACTGTTTGTGACTGTTTCTTAGAAAGTGAAGTCATATATCTGTGAATCGTATTTGCACATGTTAGGTCTACTGTGATTGGTTGGTAAATTCCTCAGGGTTAAGCTTTGTTATTGTTTTCTCTATTCAATTGCCCCTGTGGAGCCAGTTATAGTGGCCATTGGTTGCTCTTGGAACCTAATTTTTCGTGCTCTCTCGGGAACACCTACCAGTGTACGACTAAATCAGAGTGTTGTTATTAACCGTCAACAGTTCTATAATATCGGATCACTTCATCCAAACAGGCCATGAAGCTCATATTGAAGAATCTTTCTCTATCATCTATCGGGTATCAAATGAACTACTAAAGGCCTCTAGATACTGAACACTCCAAACAGCATGGGCCATTACATTTCACCTAAAAAAAAACCGGAGGTCTATGTGCAAAAGAAATAAGTCCAGCCACTTTTGCTACCCTGGTCTGCTGTCCAACCAATAAATTCAGTGTTAGTCACCTCAATTTATCTAATATTCAATTAATTTAGTCTTATATTAATCGACCTGGACAACCCGTCCTCCGACAGGTCATCCATATCGGCGCCGTGCTTAGCGTGAACGCCTGATCATCATGAGCACCCATATGCCAGAACTCCCGCAAAATTCCGCACCCTGGCCTCCAAGTAGCTAGATTACAGGCGTACGCCACCACGCCCAGCCAAAAGCCAGGGAGTGCTGTACAGCTGTTTCATCCTAGTTTGGGAATTATCGGCAGTGAGCACCCACTGAGGTTCAAACCCAAGACCTTCTTGTTACAAGGCAAGCTCGTATACCATCCAGCTTTTGAAATGTTATCTGTCGATGCTATTATTATTATCATTATATTATTATTCCTTTGGGTTCCGAGGGGAACACAGGGTTTCAACAACATATCTCTACTTTGTTCTATTTTCTATTCTCCTCTTTAACTGGGTCCACGATTGACCATAATCTTTCATCCCCTCTTCGCACGATCTCCTCCATGTCACCCTCGCACTGACGATCCACTCGTCGTTTCCCATTCGGATTCCACTCGAGTGATGGCATGGCGCGCTGTCATTCGACGGCCTCCTCAACATATGCCCGATCCATCTCGATTTTTTCTTACATATTTGTTGAGCGATCGGCTTTTGGTTGGTTTGTTCCCGGTCAGAGTTTCTTGTTGCTGATTCTTTCTGGCCGATCATTTGATCTTCAATATGGAGCCAGTAAGGCAGCTGTTGATGGAAGTCTATAACCTATTGGAAGTCCTTTTCGTGATGTGCAGTGCAAGTTTCTGACCCGTATAGAAGGACCGACTTAACATTTGTATTGAAAATCCGAATCTTGTTCTTTATGCTGACTCTGAGTGTAGAAGATTTCCAAACTAGTTTCACGTTGATGAGGGCGTATTTTGCCTTTCCGATTCTGGCCAGCTTAGACATCTTCATCCTTCCCGGTTGCCTGTGGTTGAAACGATGCTTCGTAGCCGGATAAGTGAAGGAGCTAACCTCTGTTAAATCCCTACCGTTGATGGTGATTGGTGCTGGTTGTTGCTGTTGTTTTTCTTCGTTGGTTATCTTCATCACCTCTGTCTTCTCTATATTCACCTGGAGTCCTGTCTTCACTGCCTGCCTCTACAGCCAGTTTTTTTTTTGGTTTTCGCCTGTAAGTCTTTGAGTTTATGTGAAATTAAGCCCCAAGTCATCTGCGAAATCCAGATCTTCTACAGTCTCCTTACCGTTTGGTCCAGCGTATTCCTGACGCATAATCCAGTCTACCACAATTAGGATTATCACTGGTGATAATATGCAGCCAGCTTGTCTTACTCCTGTATTCACTTCGAACTCCCCTCTCTGACATGTTGATATTAACTAATCATTGTTAAAAAACATATCACCATTCGATTGGTAGAAAATTTTTTGTATTAAAAATGCTACACATGTTTATATTAGAGTAGATCCAAAGATGAGAATTTAATTGAAAAGTGAATATTTTTCGCTCAATCTTTTTGCCTTCTAAAAGTCTAATCTGGGATTTTTTTGCTCTATCTTGTAAACTTGAATAATGATAATAGTGACTTTGTTCTAAACAATATTTTTTTTCAATACACTGTTGAATTCTTAGCACAGTTTGAAGTGACTCACTTTGATGAAAGCAATCACTAACTAACTTAGTTACGAATCCTTTCATTAAATAATAATTAGTAACTAGTGCAATGTGTTTAATTCTTTGTTTGATGCAGACTGAATTGTCACAGCCAGGTTTGTAATGTGGCCTCCATGCCACTTGGTAGGTGACTTGCCATCACTGTGCATTGTAAATTGTTTTTATTAGGTGGTTGGAAGCAATCGGCTGATGACGAGTGCCAACAACACGAAACCTAGATGCAAGGTTTCCTGCCGATCACCTCCAATCATCTAATGACAACAATTGGTTACAAATCATTAAAATACTTTTACATAGTGATTCGTACATTTTTGCCTGTTACATAACACCGGTTGTTGTTGATAAACTTTCTGTATCATTTTTTTCAATACTTTTATTCGCATACATATGTTTAGTACAACTTTGTTGGAAGAATCCTCGGTCCTGATGGATCAACAGCTAAATGTTTACAACAGTTTTTGGGCGTGAGAATTATGATTCGTGGTCGAGGTTCCATGCGTGATCAGACGAAAGTAAGCATTTATTTTAGGGGAATTTGTTTTTGTGAGATCATAAATTCACTTAACATGACCGTTTTATTCGTATTCATGGAGTCTGTGATTATTTGTGTCAGTCATTTAGAAGAAGGCTTTGGGTTATCACATTAAAGTCTACAAGATCTTGGCAACATAGAGCACATAGAAGACACTTGTTAGGCATACTGAGCCATCACCTTCCCCATGTTAGCTAATGTTAGCTAACGTAGGTTTATAACTGAAAAGAGTTAAGGATGGTCATGCCAGAACCTGGCATCAATTCATGAAGTATTTTGACTATTGGGTTGAGCCAGCTACGTAAATGTGGGTAGACTGTCTGATGATTGGGGGGCTGTTAGTGACATGGCTTAAAATCATTCTGAATGGCACTGATATACCATCACACTCTCTATAAGCTCCTTTATCTATCAAATTCTCATTATTCGTCACTATACTTATTTGTTTTCGCCTATACATTTGCATTCATTATAACTCCTTTAACTCTTTTCCCTTATTTCGCTGTCTTTATTCGCTTTATACATGGAGTGTGTCAGCTTGAACTGCTGCACTTTGTAAACTCAGTCAGTCAGTCACTTCTGTATCTCTGAAGATTTCACTTGTAAAATGGTTTGGTTAGTGCCATAAAAATAATGCTTGTCAAGAATCAGGGTATTTTTTTCTTCGTGAAATAGTAGTGTAGCGTATGCTACTGACAAGATTTATCAGTAGTATTTCTAAGAGACGTCCATTGCAGCACAAACATATTAAATAGGGAAGAGATAGATTTGACGTCAAAAAGGTGAAATGAACCAGTATTACAGTAAAACATGAGAGAGGTGAAAAGGAAGCGAAGAAGTAGGACAACATGGAAGTTCTGTGCAGGTGACAATTTCGACATATTATTATTATTGTTCCCTTGGGTTCCTAGTGGAACATAGGGCTTCAACTGTACGTCTCCACTTGCTTCTGTCTTCTCCTGTACTTTTCACCTGCATCCATGTTAGTTCACACTGTTTCAACTCCTCTTCACACGATCTCCTCCATGTCACCCTTGGACGTCCCACTACTTACCGCTTCCCTTTCGGGTTCCACTCGAGGGCCTGGCGCGTGATGTCACCCAGCGGCCTCCTCAGTGAGTGTCCAATCCATCTCCACTTTCTCCTGAATATTTGTTGGGCGATTGGTTCTTGTTTTGTTTGTTCCCATAGGTTCTTGTTGGTGACTCTTTCCGGCCATCTGATCTTCAGTATAGAACGAAGACAGTTGTTGATAAAGGTCTGCAACAGGCTGTTGGAAATATTCTTTGTGACCCGCCAACTTTCTGATCCGTATAGAAAAACTGACTAGACGTTTGTATTGAAAATCCGAATTTTGTTGTTGATGCAGGCTGAGTGACGAAGATTTCCAGATTGGTTTCAGGTTGATGAATGTGTTTCTCGCCTTCCCGATTCTCGATTTGACATCCTCGTCCGTTCCACGTGCCTGTAGTTGAGACAATGCTCCCTAGATAAGTGAGGTGAATGAAGTAACCTCTTTCAAATCCCTCCCGTTGATGGTGATTGTCGCTGGATGTTGCTGTTGTTGTTGTTGTTGGTTGGTTATTTTCATAACCTTTGTCTTGTCTATGTTCACCTGGAGTCCTGTCTTCTCTGGCTGCTTCTTCGACCAGTTTGTCGGTTTTCGTTTGTAAGTCTTCGATTTTGTGTGACATCAAACATAAATCGTCCGCGAAATTCAGGTCTTCTAGATTCCTCACGTCGGTCGAGGATATCCCTGTCTTCTCGTTTCCCACTGTCTGACGCATAATCCAGTCCACCACAATTAGGAATATCATTGGTGATAATAAACACCCTTGTCTGACTCCTGTGTTTACTCCAAACGCCTCGCCGAGTTTCATTGTTGTGGATTTCAATATAAGGCATACATAATTTCGCTATATAGAGATATCAAACTGCAAATAAACATTCCGTTACCAAGTCTTTTGTCTTCTACTGTTACACTAGCTGTGCTAGCAGTATAGGCATACTTTTGTTCTGTTTCTGTCATTATAGGGTTGGTTTGTCAATTCCTAGTAGTATGAAGATCGTGCCTAATTAATTGCAGGTCTACTGTCTAGTTCTATGAGCTACGTGCATCATACTGTCTACTGTGTAACACTGTGTCTGCGTATATAGCCGGTGAAGTAAATGGCTTGTAAATATAATATTCTGATTATTAGAAACTCAAAAAACAATACAGCTCCCCCAGATAATGTCAACTGTTGTGTTTTATTATAATCGATGCATTGTTTGTTATCAACTGCCCCCCCCACTCCAGTGTCTTCGATATCTTTTTTATTCTGTTTTTTCTCTCTTTCTATTTATCTGTCTATCTGTCTATTTGAAAGTTACACGTTTAATGCTATTTTGCAGTCTTTTTCTTTCGTTTTCGTTTTGTTATACGAGTTAAATTACAATTATGATAACGGCTTAGATAACCTGGGAGATAAATTGAATTCGTTTATCTCATTATCAAACTGATTTTTTAAAATACTTCTTAAATAAGAAACATATATATATATATATTCAGTCTATCGACATATACTAATGAAGAGAAGATGAAAAAAATCGGATAATTACGTGGAAAAAAGCAAAGACAGAAAGCAAATGACATATTATTTAAAGTGTTAGTTAGAAATTCGACAAATTGTAAAACTTGAAATTTATCTACCTCATTGAAATTGATTTAGAGCTGTCTATACTACCCCCCCCCCCTACCAAGGATATATGCCAATCGATTTTCAATTCCTCAGACCAATTATAGTCATCACATCAGGTATCTTATTCAATTTATTCCTTTACGTTCCGAGTGGAAAGTGAAAGCTTCAAGCTAGAGGTTTCATTTTTACGGGGTACGGTTTTGCCAGCCTTGCGCTAATCCTTGCCTCTTTACCGGCCTTATTGCCGGCTTAGCAAGGTGTAGGAGTGCGTTAGCCGGAAAGCGAATCATGGACCACGTGCGTGGTTAGCGAGCGTTCTATCGCTGAACCACCCACGCACAAGTGCAACGTAGGGCGTCAAAAGCATGTCTTTGTTTATATCCTGTACTCTTCAACCCTCTTTAGCTGACTTCACTAGTGTTCATAAGGTTTCATCTCCTTCTCACACGATCTTCTTTATGTTACCCGTAGATCCATGCCCAACTTGCTGTATCCTACTTGGTTTCCACTCGAGAGATGGTCTGATGTGCGCGATATCACTTGATGGTTTCCTCATCATTTGTTTGATCCATCTCCACATCAGTCGGTATATTTGTTGGCTGATAGGTTCTTGTTTGGTTCGTTGCCAGGGCTCCTTGTTGGTGATCCTTTCTGCCCATCTGACTGTCACTATGGGTCGAAGTGGTTAGTTGTTGTTGTTGATAGTAGAAGTCTAAAGTCCGGGTAAATTAACAGTCACCATCCATTATCACTTATTCGATTTTCTTCAGTCACTTCAAAATTAACAGAAGACTCTCAGAAGAATTAACACATCTGCTTACAAACATCACTGGCTACATATATGAACTAAAGAAACCTTAAAATGAGTTATTATTATGTATTCTATAGGCAGTGTTTAACTAACTCTGCATGTTTTTCCCTCCCCGCTTTTTTTTCTTCCTATTCAATACTTTAGGAAGAAGCCAATGTTGGTCGACCTAATTGGGAGCATTTAAATGATAATTTGCATGTTTTAATTAGTGTTGAAGATTATGAAAATCGTGCAAAGGCTAGAATTGAGAAAGCCAGTGAATATATCAGTTTATTTCTGGAAGAAAGTGTTAAAGTGGTAAGCATTTACTGCATTTCTTCTTCTTATATTTCTTTTTGCTCGTGTTTGTATTCAGAGTATAGATGAGTGTGTGTGTGTGTGTGTTTGTGTAGTGTGCGCAGTATCGGCTTTCAGCATTGTCGTGTATGTGACTGTACCCTCCATTGTCTTTTAAATGTTTTAAGACTTCATTTACTTTATTTCACGATAGTGAACATCACAAAAGATGAGATGTGATTCATCAACGGGAGTCAAATTTGTACACCATGTGACTAGATCTTGATGCGTATAAATAACTTTTAGCTTATTTGTAATTCAGCTCAGCTGACTCGTCCAAGAAGACTGACTGATTGGGGTAGGTAGGCGGAATTTGGTTAGAAAAGCTGTAGGTGATGATAAAGTTTGTGGAGAAGAGGTCTAAGTTTGTTTTGGCTGTAGTCCTGATGACAACGACGTGTTTAGTGTGTGGAATTTCGCTTTTTCCTTCTTTTAATTGGCAGTGATACGTGGCCAATGTAGTTGGAAGATCAGAAGAGGACAGTTGTCCTTGATTGTAGGCTTTTGCATTCTGTCTCTTGTGTTAACTAGTATAAAATGGTGAGTAATGTTGAGGTTAGGCGTTGAGAGTGCTGGGTAAGGAAGGGAAGCCCATCAGCACGTGTTACACATACCGAGCCATCACCTTCCTCGTTGCACGATGTTAGCTGACATTAGATTATACTGGCGAAGAGCAGGGGATTGTCAAGTGAGAATCTGGCTTCAAATCCATGAAGTCTTTGACTGTTGGTTTGATCAATCCACGTAGGGATGTGTACTGTCTGACTGATGTCCTCGAGACGCTAGGAAGCAACGGCACCTACTACTTACAGGTACACTCAATAAGTGCGTAGAATAACGTTTTTGGAGAATAAGTTATATTTCATGTGTCACTGAGATAGCTACTGATAAAGAAGTGAGGAAGTAGGTATACTATTGATCGAAGAAACTATTCAGCGACATACACACAAAAGATCCAAACATTCCTAATACAGAATGTTTGATATTATTTGTCGAAAGTGAAGTCAATGGATTTATATTTTAGTTATTTTATTAGTTCACAAACAAACACTAGATGTGCTCTTATCAACCTTATTCACATCTTCATATGTTACAGGTTCGATAAACGAGTTGACATCAGTTAAGAAAACCATTGGAAAACCAACAGGGAGTACTGGACAGATGTTTCGTCCTAGTTTGAGATTCTTCAGTGGTACTTACCCAGGTCGCCCTGTAACCCTAACGTCCTGGGCTCAAACCCCAATGGGTGCATGCCGTCGAAGAGTCCCAAACTAGGATGAAATATCTGTCCAATGCTCTCTGGTATTTTTCTAATGGTTCTCTCACTGATGTCCACTCGTGATCAAGCCTGTAGCCAATCAAATCCCTGCAGACCCCACGTCCTCCTTTATGTCTATGAGACCTGGCCATTGAGAGCGGAAGACATGAAAAGATTAGCTGTCTTCGATCATAGGTGTCTGCGTTCTATCTCCCGTGTGAAGTGGTATAATAGGGTGAGCAATATTGAGGTTGGGCGTCGAGTGCTAGGTAAGGAGGGAAAATCAGTCGATGAGGCTGTGAAATTGCATCGATTGAGATGGTTAGGACATGTGTTACGTATGCCTAGTCATCGCCTTCCTCGACGGGCAATGTTAGCTGATATAGGGTCAGGCTGGAAAAGAGCCAGCGGCGGTCAAACGAAAACATGGCACCAGTCAATGAAATCTGCAACAGTTAGTCTTAGCCACGTAGGAAGATGTAGACTTCCTGGTTGGGGTCCTCGGGATGGTAAAAACCAATGGTTGGAAACAATTGGTGATATGGCTCAAAATCGTTCTCAATGGCTGGCGCAGATGCATCCACTCCTTGTGACTTATGATTTCCAATGAAACTATAGTGTTCTTCGTTATTACTATTCCTTTGTCTCATATCTCTGTTTACTGTCTTTATTATGCATTTCTCCTACTTTCTTCTTTTGCTTTGTGTGCTACAAGGAGGGAGTGTAGCGACTTGAACTGCCGCACATATGTGCAAAGTTCTGTGTCGAAAACAGATAGACAGACAGCAGACCCCAACACTTGGTAATCTTCATATGTATTATCCAGGTGTACACTTTCTTCACATCCTATGAAACTTTTTCAAAAAACTATTTAATCAATACTTATAATTCAATATTTATATATATATATATATCCAAAGTAATTCGTATTTTTTTCTAAATGTATCTCATTTGATCGTTGGGCGTGTATCACTTTCAAATTGTGCATTATTATCACCATTAATATTCTGTACATCTGAAGAGAGTAACTTTAACCTGGAGAAAAATTGTCTCTCTCTGTATAAAACATGTTGATACTTATCATCTGTAATCAGTCTATTTCGCTCATCTGTACAGATTTGAACGCGTGCATAGGACGTCTGATAGCTAGGAGGAGAGTAGTTGATTGAGAATTTTAACAATTAGATCAAAGATTAGTATATACTATGTTTTGTCATTACTGATCCATTTTGAAAAGAATTTTGTTTTGCTCTAAAATGTATTCTGTGTATTTTGTAATAGTGTATATAAAAATCAATACTCAACAAACAAGGTGTTAAGGAGGTGGTGGGGTTTTAATTGCATATTGCCCTAACAACGATGCTAATTGTAGCGGCAGCGGTACAGTCCATTGTTGTGTGTCCACTTAATGACAAAATCGATATATCATTCAGATATGGCGGATGGTGACTAGCAGTGGAATCCTGGATGGATAACGCACATTTCGTCCTATTTGGGGCTCGTCAGTTGGATGTACCTACACTCCCTAATGAGTGAGTGATAGTGTTTCCACTGAGGCTGGAACCCAGTACCTTTAGTTTCAAACGTCAAAGCCCAAGTGGTTTAGTGAATAACACTTTGGTGCTTGAAACCGTGGGCACTGGGTTCGAGCCTCAGTGGGAACGCTAGCACTCAATCATTAGGGAATGCGGGTACATCTAGATGACGAGTCCCAAATATGATGAAACGCTCGTTTTCCATCCTGGATTCCACTACTAGTCACCATGCACCAAATTACGTCATGTTAAATCCTCAGACATCGTCGACGCATCATCAACAAAGACCGAGCACTTCGGTCCAATGAATCAACGGGAAAGTCCAAATTGAATTAAATTGTCATTTAGATCTTAGACAATAAATTATGGATTGGGAAATCTTCTACGAGGTATTTTCATTTGGGCGGCTTCATAATTCCCGCTAGTCTGTGTGACAGTAGATGTTGTTTCATTGTCATATCTAGGCAATCAGGTTTCAAAGTTGAACAAATTTAAACCTTCACCTTCATCATTTTATGTTATCACATTCATCTTATCGCATCAGGAATGCTTCGTTTTTGGTTGTGTTCAAGTAACATTCATTCAAACTGCGGGTGTTTAGAAGTATACTGTTTAGATGGTTGGAGGTCGTTGGCAGGAAGCCTTGGGCCTAATTTTCGTGCTTGTTGGCACTCACCAGTCAGCTAGGTGTATCTGCAACCTTGAAGCAACTCATTTCCCTTCTGAAATTCGAACTTGCGTCACACAGTGCTGCAGTCGGAGACGTTATCACTGAGCAGCTGTTTGCGCTCGCGATTGACCTCCTGTCGGACTATATTGGGTACTTTGATTGGACACAAACTAGTAAATAATGTAGTGTGTTTAGTCCTCTCTTTGATGTTAACGTCTTTGACTACAGCAATGGGTAAGCTGAGTTCGAGTCCCAGCAGGGACATGAGTTCCCTGAAGATTGCAGGTATACCTTGCTGACTAGTAAGTGTCAACTAGCACGACACCTAGGTACAGACAAGGCTTCCTGCCGATAGCCTCGAACCACCTAATATCAACAATTCACAGTGCACCGTGATGATGGGTCACTCAACATGGCGGACACATTGACTGACAGAATTCAGTCTGCACTGAAGATAGTACTAGAAACACTACATTAGTTACTAACTAGTGTCCAATCAAAGTATCGTTTTTATCATCACTCACTCGGTGGTAGGTGTCCCTATTGTTTACGGAATAATTACACTTGATAGTTAGATGGGTAGATTGCGAAAAACAGATGTGTCAATCTAATCGAAAGTTACCTTCAATTAGTTTGTGTTTTTTATGCAATGAATGTAGCCTTCCGGCACAGGTGATACTATATGCTTACATTATTGTTTTGTATGACATGTCGATGTATTTTAGCATAAACAACATTAGTTTGATGGAAGTAGACGCATTTTAGATGTACAAATCTGCTAAAATGCACAAAGAAATTGTTAATTAGTTCAAAATGCAGTCCCTACTTTACGAGCGCCTTCGTAACATCCCAGCACAAATATAGTAAATTGTCTAAGGGTCTGTCATAAATGTGATCTAACCATTTATCAATTACGTCGGTGCTTCAGTGGCAGAATACACACCAGCCACTCACGTGGTTTGTAGTTCAATTCCTGGCTGACGCATTCCTAAACCTTGCTTAGCCCGTAGTAATCCTAGTGAAGCCGGTGGGGTGGGGAGGTTGAGCACTAAGCCATCAACCTCACTGCGTAAAAACTACTGCTAATTAAATTCCAAAGCTGAAGCTTAAAGACCTGTGCTCTCTTCCCCTCCCCCCGAAAAGCAAAAGAACAGAAAACATATTCATCAAGAGGTAAATACTTTTTTTATCCCTTTGCGTTCCGATTGGAATACAGGGCTTCGAGCTTGGGCTTTGTAGTTTCAGTAGCAGTAGTTTCCTTTTCTACGGGGTGGGGTGTGCTAACCTCATGCCCAACCTCCCCTATCTTTGTCGGGCTTACAATCGGCTAGGGGAGGTAAAGATGTGCTCCGACCGGGAATCGAAACCTGAAACACATGCGATCGTTCTACCACTGAGCCACCGACTCACAAGAGGTAAATATGCAGTGTAGGAATCCCCTCTCACCTACTTTCTGGATGTGAAATACAGCCGCTTAATTTTAAAAGAGGTCAGATTT